TGTCACTTAATTTTGTGTGCACAAAATGAATGATCAGGTTACAGGTAGCTTATCCTCATCTTGAAGTAGCCACTGTGACAGAGGGCTTAATAAAGAGGATTGCCGCTTCATCAAGTCCATATAAAGCTGCCAAAGCAATAACAGCAAGAAAAGAGTTATAGGTAATCTATATATCCTTCGCAGAGGCTGAAAAAAAGCAGGAAGTAGACACATATAATTAAGCTTGTTTTTATGGATGCCATAGGGGAGATGTCGCTGCACACAGAAATAACTAGCAGATAAACGACAAAAGGTGAAGAGACCATAGGCCTATCAGCCGGGGGGGCAAGCGAGGCTGAGCCTCCCTCCCTCACTGCAAAAAGTTAGCCCCCCCCCCCCCCCCCCCAGTTTCTACAGTGGTCACTGTCGGCTGCACAGTTTCGGCTGCACTGTCGGCTGTAATCACTTAAATATATTGTTATGAGAAAAAGAAAATAATTTAAGGCAAAGGTGCAATATAGCAATAATTTTGCGAAATATTAGCAGTGACAATTTGCCTTGAAGGCTCTCTGCGACTCTCTCGGGCCTGTTCAGCGCTAGCTCTGCAGAGCAGGTTAGCGCTGAACGAGGGCCCTATATTATTACATCACTTGTTCATGTTTTTATTCTGCTGCGACTGGCCGATGCATTTATAGATGGGAACGAACAAACTACTTATGGACTGGTGAAAGCATTTGCTGCTTCAGGAAAATCATTTTTGTTTCATCGAAAAAGATGACCGTCACTGCTGCTCTGTCCAAGCTGCTGTGAGCACATGATTGCGACTAATATTTCCGAATATTTTAGTTTTGCCGTACTGGAAGCGCCAAGAAAGGTTTCTGCTTTAATCTCTGATAAATCTTATCAGCCTTGCTTATGGCAACTTGGAGTGATGGAGGCAGCTTGGAAAGTGGCGACGAATAAAGCAGTGGACGCGAGCTCAGTGAGAAGCTGAGATAATTAGATAGAAATGATTCCATCATTCCTTGAGGATTGCTTCAGATTAAAAACTGAATTTTTTGTAAGCTGTTTTAAATCATTAAAACATTACACTCAATGATGAAACATTTACTGTTGAGGAGGCTGCCATCAACATAATTGTAGTCATGTAAGAAGCTGTGAGGTAATGAAAAGTGGCACATGCAATATTATTATACATGCATCACAAACATACATGTATTCCCTAAATGCATGCTGTTTAAAAGTTGCTGTCCTTTTCTTACGCTATTGAACGAATGCTTCGTGTATGAAAAATTGCATGAGCCAGTATGTGCGTGTGTGTTTATACACACACACAAACACACACACACACATACTGGCTCACAAGTGCCCTAGGTTTGCCCCCCCCCCCCCCCCCCCCCCCGCATTCGCAAAACGGTACGCCGCTGGAACAGACATTTCTTTTCTACAACACATCAATAAATATACAGACAGAGGCACTGGCTTGGTGGTAAATAAATGCAGCTGTAAGTGCATTAAACAGGCATGCTGCTGTGGAACTAGAGATAATTCAAGCATAAAAGGTCATTAATAAAGGATCACTGTCCAATATTTTGTTGCAATGTCATAATTGTATGCACACACCAAATTTCGATGAATGTGCAGTTTCATACCAACACAAGAATTAATAAATGTGCCTCATGGTTAAGCCCATGGATATCAATAGTAATGGAAGCACATGTGTGAGCCAGCCTTTGATTAACCTGCATAAAGAAATGAAATGGTTAAGCAGTTATTTTCTGCATACACTTGCATGTGTCTACAATTTATGGCTAGAGCTGCAGTTCCTGAGCATGCACAAATAAGTTTTGTGCCCTCACACTTCTTCACCAAGGTATCCCCTCAGTTCACAGGCAGCATTCGTGTTGTCTGGTTTTCTTTTCTTTTGTCTATGTGAACGCCTTGTGTACCCTCATGATGAATCCTACCCAATTAGCACAACTTTCTGTAGTACTCCCTTAGCCAGAATGGAACTGTTGAACCTCGATATACACAACATGAATATAATGAACTATAAGAAAAAAAAAATGAGAAGGGTAAACTTAACATTCTTTTTGCTGATTTCAATGGGCAGTGAACATAGGTTTACAACAAATATTAGGCATGATGAGGTTTAACTGTAGCAGGCTAGGGTCACATCACTAAGATAGGCACTGAAATCTGTCTCAAAATTTTTTTCTTCAGGAAAGTTACTGAAAATGTCACTGCAATCTTGACAAGCACACTGCCTGTCATTCTATGTTGTTTGTTGTTGATTGTGTACTGTACCTAAAAGTAAATTATTGTTAATAACATAGTATGTACAGACAATGTAGCGGTGCCTCTTCTTTGTCTGTGGCTTATTGTGCTTATCATTCTCAACTATGCACAATCGGTGAATCTTGTGTCACAGTACCCTTGAATATTGTTAAAATTTGTTTATGAAGTACTCCGACTGACATATTGCTACAATAAATACAATCAAATAAAAAAGAAAAAAAACCGACAGAAATTACATATGATTGCTGAAAAAAATACCACTGAAGCAATGCAGTGCCATAACACGTATTGCCAGTGCTGAAGCACGTTATGTATGAGGCATATACTGCAGCAGGGCTCCTTTAACATACTTCTCTATGGGCACACTTCAACTTCTAGCAGCACTGCCTAAACATAACCTCACAGCCTTGTAGATGCACTGGTGCATGGGAAAGGCTGAGAATTGTTTCCTCACACTAGCTAAATACTCATTGACAAACTCACAGACAAACTAATTCATGAATTGACACACTTAGACCAGTCTCTCAGGCTGAGCCCAGGTGAGCCTTCCTAAGCATAATTTTGAAAAGTTTGAGTTTTAAGAGAGCTAAACAAAAATTATATTTCTGAGTGAGTTCTGTTTTGCAAACTTATGCCAGTAGTACAATTCCTAGTAACTACATTCACATAAAAGGTGGAGCTCTATCACTCACAATAGGTTACTGTGGATTAACCATCAGATTTCAATGAAAACATCTACAACTTTACTCTAGTGCTCTATCCACTAGAACCTATGTCACATGCAGTGTTTGAAGTCTCGCGTCACCGAAGGGGAGGACTCTAGTTAGCAAAGAAGGAGAGGAAAGTAAAGAGAGAGAGAAAAAGTGGCCAATTGTTTTATACATTGCTTTCTAGAAACTAGGCTTGTGCAAATATTCAAACGAATATTACTATATTTGAATTCGCTATGATTTAAATTTAAACCGTTGAAAATTTCGAAGTATTCGAAATGAACGAATAAATGTATATTAATCTGCATGTAACCCCTTGTAAAGGTGGTTTCACTGCAGTAAATGTGTGCTAAGCCATGAAAATAGTTATCCAGAAAAGATCCGCACTGCCGCAAAGCCCCACTTCAGGGTAAGTGAACATACTACCCTCACATCAATTCATCATTTTGCAAGTTCAAAAGCTTGTCATACTGGCTTATATGCTCCGAGTATAGTGCATTTGAAAACATGACATATTTTACAAGTTGTTTAGGGAGTAAAGCCACATATAGTATTATATCTTACAAATTATCACTTCCATCCTAGTGCAACTCATACCCTGCTACTATTCAAAGTTGTTTCCACTTCCTTTGAAGCAAAAAGAATTGCATTTCACAGACCTTGCTTCGATTTTCAAAAAAATGTTGAGCAAGTTAGTTGGGTCTTGACAAATATGCCCATTCTTCTTTATGATATAATATTCAAATTCAATTAGAAAATATTTGACAAAAATCACTATTTGCTTCTAACCTAAAATTCACTATTTGCACAAGCCTACTATAAACCAGAGAAATAAGTACTAATTTTGAACTTCTTGTATCGTTTTGTCTCGCATATTAGAAAACATGGCAATAGTTCTTGACAAAAATTATGATGAAAATTTCAAAATAGAGAAGATATGTTCCAACCACTATTGACAAAGAATATAGCAAATGGTTGCCCACCTCAAATTCATGTAATCTTTACTTCCTAGAAAAGAGGGTCTAAAATCTCTTACCTGTACTGGTGAGGAGTCCGAGATCATCCACCCCCTCCCGAGACCTCCCAATTTTAAGCACGGCCATATGTAAGGTTCCTATGTGATGCCTTCTATTCACAGTAGCACATGATGCACAAACACGAAGTGTCATTGAATGTTTGAGAAACCGTGAAGCTTTTACGCATTTTATTGTTTTCCTTGTGAGGCAATTTGTCTCTTTAACCTATTACAAATGCTACAGCTGTATTGATGCAATGTGTGCTATTGCAAGCTCGCAGTTCTATTGAACACTCTAGTTTACAGTGCCTAGCTTGTCCTCATAACCACCCGTCCAGCAGTGCTGAATTGTGCATGTGGTTTCTACAGAGTTCTATTTCAGGCAGCCATAAGCTACAGAATTGGGATCACGACTGTCCAGAAATATTTGCGGCTGATGGTGGCATGCAAAGTTGATTAAAGCCGAGTAAATGGCATATGGAATAATTTTCCATTTACAGATTCATTACTTCCAGGTGCTACTATTATAAAGAAGTAATGTAATTTCAGTCATTACTTTAAAATAACTTGGTGTTCATTAGTAGTGCTGAAGTATATTTACAGAAAGAACAGGTTGATTTTTGGTAAGAAATTTTTATTTTATGTCCATTAATCTGAAAAATGTCATAATAAGAGGTTCATGGTAATGAGATTCTACTATATGTAAAATCTGATATTTCACATATATGATCATAGAATAAGTTTCATGTAGTCGAATAAATCTTTCGCCTTTCATGTAGTGAATGCAGTGTTCTGGAATAATTTGTAGTTTGCGTACCAGGTTGACACTATATATTAAAAGAGCAGTGATTTGCATGTTATTTTTTAATCATTAATTTATTAGTAAAGGATGCGTATTTAAGTTACATTTCTTGTGTACAACCTATACGAATAAAAATTCGACAGATCCCACATACCTCGGGAATCGATGTTATGCATAGCATGTGAATGGAAGATAACTGTGTTGTAATTTTTTTATTGATAGAAACGTTACGAAGTGGCACTAAAGATATGTACAAATGCATGCACTGACATACAGTGAACAGCCACACATGTTTTATACAACCAGTTTGCAGTTGCATCAATGCCAACAGCATCATGGATATTAGCGACACCAGCAGTGGTAAGCCGATATGAGGCGCTGGTGTTTGCGAGTATGGTAGCCCCGGACACTACTACACGGGTATATAAACTTCAGCGGATGGCACCCAACTACAACTGACATCAACTCAAAGTGACAGCTGTATCATAGGAGTACATATGTAATGTAAATAAAATTATATGGGCAGCACATGCAATCAGAATTGACATTTCATGAACATTAGGGTCTATTTGAATAGTTCAGAAACCTGGCGAGATTTTGTGGTAGAATATCAGATGGCCATGCAGAATGCTGGGGTTCGATTCCAGCTGGGACCCTGATATTTATTATTTGCATTTATTGGGTCAATGCTGCCAATGTTGACTTTTTATTAACGCCCACGTGTTAAAATTACCCACGTCTGTTTTCCGCATTCCTGAGTAGATATGAACTGTCAATTACCTGTGGCACATACCCGCCCGCGGATGTGCGCCACACGTCTGGCAAAAAGGGTAAGACTACATACGCGACGGCATTGCGACATTATTCATGTCATGACTAGCGAGTCATATTTGTGAAACCATTTTACCCTCCCATACTAATTTTTGTATACCACAAGCTAATGGCGTGATCACGAGAGAACCCAGACGTAGGTGGCTAGATAGCTAGCTACGTAGATAGACATTCAAAGTGCTTGCAGTACGCAAAGAAATGCTTTGCATTTAATAACACATGTACCATTCAAAATGGCATCTAGTAGACCTTAACAAGGCATATCGAGGAATCATTTCCGAGTGGGGACCTAAGGGGACAATTGTGACCATAGTGAAATATTTCTAGTCATTTGTTTTTGTGACTCTTGACATCCAGTATATAATAGTACAAACATGTACAAACAATATTATGACAAATGTAAGTTTCATTGCGGAGTATAAAGCCATGGCACCATTACTCGGGAATAACGGAAATTCTTAACCATCCCCCTGGGCACGTTAGGTGCCTTGCACCCTTACCTTTCTGTTTAGCAATACCAATATTTCCCATCTTGGAAAAGCATCAGTCAAGGAACAATGCATACATGCTGGTATTGCAACCATTTGCCAAATAACTTGAGGGTAACAAGTACTTTAGCCTACCAGCTGTAGCGACCAACCATATGGGGGAAGACAAAAAAAAAAGCATTTAGCTTAACCAGAACAAATATCTAGTTTGCTGCTTTACATGTACGGGGAGGAAAATTACTAGACAAATAAAGAAAGGGAGATAATAGTATGCATAAATATTACTACTTCTATAGCTATAATATCAATGAGAACAAATAGACAATAAATAATGTGATAGAAAGAGTAAGGCTTGTTATTAAAAGTAATTGTAATGTAAATGTGAAGAAAAGTGGACGAAAAGATAACTTGCCACTGGCAGGATCGGAACCTGTGACCTTTGAATAACGCACCCGATGTTCTACCACTGAACTATGATGGCGGTCACCCCTCTGTCCACTTTATAGAATTTATATGTGCATTTAACTGTGGAAGATTCAGTCAGCTGCAATCTGGTAACAAGATAACATACTACGTGATGCCACAACAAGCAATAAGGGTGTTCCAGATTTGCCGCAGTGTCATCAGGTTGCGCTGACTGAAACTCCCATGTTTAAATACATATAAACCTTATAAAGTGGAATGAGGGACGACCGCCACTATAGCTCAGTGGTAGAACATCGGGCGCATTATTCAAAAGTCACAGGTTAAGATCCTGCCAGTGGCAAGTTATCTTTTCATCCCCTTTTCTTTCTTCACATTTACATTACAATTACTTCTAATAACAAGCCCTATACTTTCCCTGGTATCACTGTCTGTTTTTTTTCTCATTATATTGTCTAAAAAACAAAACGAGCCCTTTAATTTACACTTATGTAGCTTTAACTCAATAATACATAAAGACAAAATATCACATAGTAGTCACTCAAATCAATCATTCATTCACACATCTATTCACTTTTGAAAAGTTCCCACGAAAATCTCTAAACCTTAGTAAATGTGCGCTTTTATTACACAAATAACATGAAAAAGAAAACAAAGCATGAAACCCGAAAAAAGCAATGGTACAAGAGTGCAGAAAAAAAGGGAAGCAGTCAAGGTTAGAAATCGGGCAAAGAGCAAATACACAAGCTGAAAATGCAAAGTATTTCGTTGTGCTACAATATATGTAATATCAACGTTGATACGCATTGAATGCACCTTAAATATACTGAAATTACACAAATATGGCATCACATGCAGAAAGTTATAGTCAAAATAATGCAAGAACCCATGCAATCAAAGACCATAAAGAATTTGATGCTTTCGCTATTTTTTTTAAATATAAAGGCACTGTAATCCTGTTTAGGATTAAAAATAAACAGAAACTAGAGATCTCATGTGTTCACAGATGCAGGACCATGGTCCTGCATCTGTGAACCTTTCCAACAATTATGTAACCATCATGAATCATGTCACTCAATGTCTCCAACAATTATGTCAACCACACGATCAAGAAGCCGGCCATCAAGGTGGCGCTGCAGCAAGTCGAGTATATAAGTTTCATCCTGGAGATGATTTGAGGCCACCGCTCGTTCTAAATGACGCACATTCACTCGGAGGCGCTTTATTTCGTGCCACTGCTTCTTGACAATGCCCACCAGCCTTTCTCTGCAATGAAATAAATCAGCATGCCGGTTCACTGTATAACACAAGTACATAGTACAAGCCAAATGACATCAAAAAGGGCAGTGCAAGCACCTCTGAGAAACCGTAGTTTCAATGGCACATTATCTGGTTATTGTTTCCACAGATGCCTTTTGTCACACTAGCCAAAATAGACACTTCTAAGAAGAAACGGCAGGCAGGCGCATTTCACATGCAACAGTGTATCAACATTACTATTTTCAAAAACAACAGTAGCCTTTTAGCTATCCCAAATGCATAGCCCAAAGGCCTATTTCGAGCTCGTCTGCGTTATAGAAAAGGAGGCCTCAAACTCATGTGGGAGAAAAACGAGGCCATCGAGATCTAGAAGGAGAGAAACGTGCGTCAGTATAGCATCAGTGGTTGTGACAAGAAAAAAAACATCGTATCTCTCTCTCACTCACTCTTCATGGAAATGACACCTGGTACCAGTCACTGCTGGGTATCTGTAAGTGACTGTACATGTTTGGCTATTTATTTAGCCATGCGCCCAGAAATTAAATTTGTGTTGAAATAGCAACGTCCTTGTATGTCTTCTCTTTGATCCTTGTTTTTAGTTCTGCTACTCAAACCAGTCTTAGCTATAATAACTAGCGATGCTGAATCATAAACCCGGCTCATGGATTTCTTCCACCATAGCTGCACTGTATTTCTAGAGAGTTTGTAATTGAAAATGATGGTCTATTTGCCTCTACAAGCTTACTGACAACCCTTCACATCAATTATGGTGGCTTTCCACAAGGATATGCCAAATGCTTCTTTATATAATATACTTTTATATGAGGATACACTTGAACTACCGGAAGGGAAAAAAGGCAGAAGTGCGCACAATATACTCTTTTGAAGTTTCCAGATGAACGACACAAATCAGACACAGGTAAACTACGACATTTTGCTCCATTTTGAATAACAGCTACAGTGTGCCTTGATGAAACTGCAGGCATAAATTGTTTTTGTTTGTTTCAAATAGCATTTGCTGGACCTTTATGCATGTGCACTGCTCATCGTGATAACTTGCAGGAAGTCACAAGATGATTTGCCTGCTCTCTAATACCTGGTATCACTTTTCTTAACAAGTCAGGTAGAGATTAGAAGTCAGCATTGTGCAAGGGCTTCAATAAGGTGTAGGCTTGAATAAAGGTGTTAGTTGCTTTTATCAGCAATTGAAATTTTTGAAAGATTGTAAAATAAATATATAAAATAAAAATAAACAGAAAAAGCTGTTTTTCCTGTTGCTCAAAAATTTTTAGAAATTTAGCATATTACTTATTAATGTAGAATGTGCTAAAAAAATTTACATCAAGCATCTCTTCTAGCTTAGGAAACAAACCTCAAACATCAAGGACTGAACCTCAGGCAGCAATGATAAAAAACATGGAAGCACATTATATGTACAAGCTAAGTCACCATCACTGACAATGAAAAACTTTGTGTACACTGCTTTAGTTGCTATGCACTGTCCACTATAATGGATTCTTAGCATTTGCTTTTGTGTCGTGTACATTTTTCGAATGTACCATCACAAGGTGTTTCAACCAAGGCTGCTTCACTATAATCATGACGTAAAAACATACAGTAACACTTCATCACTGAAGTCACTGGGACTGTGAGAAATCTTCTAATCAAATGTGTTTTTAAAGTAATGGAACATACAAAAAGTGGGATAGAAGAAACTTGAAATCATTCAAAGTAATCAGGGCTGATGATTAGTGGACTTTTGTAGTGCAAGGGCCAAGGGGTGGCCAAAGAGTGCCATGCTTTTTATACGATGTAAGCAATGACCAATGATTGCGATGACAGGGTGTATTACAGCTGTATGGAGGCCTAAAACCATGTGCTATTTAAAATTAGTGTATAAAGTATAAAATTATGGCAGTGATAAGCAATTTGATAAGCGAAAGACACCGCGAGATCTGCAGTGTGGGATGAATTAGAAGTGACCATGGTATCTACAAGTGAGCAATTGTAAAATAGCATGAATGCCTCTTCAATCCCTTTGAAGCCAAAGGCTGAGAGGCAGGTGCTTCTCAGAGCAGCTATCGCAGCAACAACCTCTGCGGGGAGGTTATGCTATGAATTTTCCTTAGATATGACGCTGAAGCTATGAATTTCTACTAAAAATGCAAACAATGACTGATACTTCTAAAGTGGTTCTTTGCCAATGAACATCCCAGGATGTAGTGCAGTGGCTCTCAGCCATGTATGTGTGGACCCCTTGTGGACTGGTGGAAGCGATGCGGAACCCCTTGCAGTGAAGGGAAGGGAGGGGGTGTACGTAGGTAAATTAACGCAACTGGAGCGTGAAACAGGTGCCTTTTATTTCTACCCAAAACATCAAACAAACATGCCACATCACTTCTTTATAGACAGTTCATCAATACGTGGCACAGTCATGCTTAAAGAAAAATGCGGGTGAGGGTTTCATGAATCATAGGAACGGCTTCGCGGACCCCCATCTGAGAACCAATGATGTAGTGTAATGTGTTCACGGTAAGCTAATGGAAAAAAATATGCCTTTTTCTAATGCAGACTAATTCACTGCATTGGATGAGAATGTGGTTGACACTGAGTAATTCACCACATATATCACACAAAGGTGGATCCCCACCGGACAAAAGGTATGAATGTGTGCTGTACGTAAGTTCTGTTCTTAGCCTTGTAAGGGTAAGTTCTGTGTGGCGTGATTTTGAAACTGGCAGCCAATTACCAAGCTGTGGCTTAATGCGTGACTATCTCATGTGCTCTGCCAATAAGCTCTGAGCTTTCGTTTGAGATATGGTTTTAGGTCAAGAGCAGGAATATCTATGGATGTATTGGCTGTGCTTTCAAAGACAGATGCAGCAATTTGGTCTGCCACCACATTACCTTGGATCTCGCGGTGTCCTGGCACCCAGCACACTACAACAAGCTGTTTGAAAGTGTGGACTGTGCATAATACTGAATAAAGTGAAAAAAGAACAGGGTTTCTGTGTTTTTAAGAGTTTTCAGAGCATTTACTACACTTGATGAGTCTGTGTAAATTACTGCCTTTTGTAGTTTTAATTCTTTGATGTATTTGACGGCCACAAGTATCGCGTAGGCTTCTGCAGTGAAGATGGTTGTACCAGGCTGCATTACGCCGGCATTCGAAAAAGATGGGCCGACTGCTGCGTATGACACAGAAGTGTGAGACTTTAAGGCATCTGTACAGAAGTCAGGACAATTGTATTTGTGTTGAAGCTCCAGGAAGTACATACAGATATGTGCCACAGGTGCGTGTTTCATAACTTCCTCGAAGAATATATCACATTTTATGAGCTGTCATTGCCACGGTGGCAGATGCGCGGCAAGAGCCATCAGACAGTAATCAAGAAGTGGCAGTCCTGTTTCCTAAGCGAGACCACTCACTCAAAGCGAGTAGGGCTGTCGTAACGAAGGATGGTTATCATACAGTATGAAACTGGACAAGTCATTGATTATGGAGTGTGAGGGGTGCTTATTGTCTGCATTTGCTTTGAGGTAATACACAAAAAAGCATGTAAGTTCTCTGCAGCTGCAACGAACGTTTGTTTGATTCGACATACAGGCTTCCTACAGGACTAATGCAAAAAGCACACGAAGAAAGACAGATGCCCAAATAATGGACCAGAAGAAGAACGGCTATTTGGGCTAGTGGGTTTGGATTCATGGTAATAAGGGCTGCAGCGCGAGCACGAAGGTGCTAGAAGAAACAGACGAAAGGCGAGGCAGGAAAACCAAAGAGGACAACACGAGCGCTGACTACCAACTGAATTTTATTATTCGCAGCACACATGATAATATATACAACAGGCAACCTTTTAACAGCAAACGTGAGCAACGTGACATATTCTGGGGAATGGTCTGATAAAAAAAGAAGGTACAATGATAAAATGGCTAACCCTTATTTAAAAGCGCGAACTCTTTGTCATTCAAGGCCACCGAAGGTTGGCTCACCCATCCGTCACCATGCTTTCTAATAAAATACGCTTCAGCTTTTTCACGAGTTAACTTGTCCATGTGGCGTGCCAGCACACTCACGCCCGGAAATCGAGGCTGGCACCCGCAGCTTTTGCAGTGCAAAACAAGGTTTGAACTAATTCCTTTGCATATACCATTCTTATGTTCTCCTAACCTTTTATTATTGCACCGCCCAGTTTGGCCTATATAACAACGACCACACGTTAAAGGAAGCATGTAAACAACACCAACTGTGCAATCTACAAATTTATTTATGTGTTTTACGGCGCATGTCTAACTTTTTTTGGTGATTCCTCTAAGTCGCTCATCCGTCATTCTGCAAATCTGGCTTACTTTGCACGGGGCTGATAAAACTACATCCACACCATAACTCGAGCCTACCTTCTTCAAACCATGAGATATATTGTGGAAGTATGGGATGACTGACACTCTTTTTCACTCTTTATTTCCTCCTGCCTTTTCTTGTTTTTGTTTGATTTTTTGCAACAAAGCTTCGCACACTGAAGAAATTACAGATTTCGGAAATCCCGCTGAAAGAAGTCTGTTAATTTGCATTGTTACACTATCAGTCATCTTGTGTAGGCATGACTTAGATAAGCCAGCACTTACAGCCGACGAAGCAATAGCTCTCTTGACCAGTTTTGTCATGCGAAGCCAACCTTCGGTGGCTTTGCATGACAAAGAGTTCGCGCTTTTAGATAAGGGTTAGCCATTTTATCATTGTACCTTTCTTTATCAGACCATTCCCCAGAATATGTCACGTTGCTCACGTTTGCTGTTAAAAGGTTGCCTGTTGTATATATTATCATGTGTGCTGCGAATAATAAAATTCAGTTGGTAGTCGGCGCTCGTGTTGTCCTCTTTGGTTTCCTTGCCTCGCCTTTTGTCTGTTTCTTCTAGCACCTTCGTGCTCACGCTGCAGCCCTTATTACCATAATGGACCAGGTCAAGCATTTTCAGAGAGCTTAGTGTGGCAGACTGATAGA